TCAACAACTGAAATTTAGAATAGTGTGATTAAGAAAAATATGTGAACTGTTTGCAATTTCAAATTAATATTGAAATGTACAGGTTTAGAATTTTCTACAGTGAAAAGTTTTCGGAACTTCAGTATTCAAAAAAGTATACAAAAACTAGACGTTAAGAACGTATCCAATGAGCGAGCAAAGCGAGCATTGGATTGCGAAGCAATCCGAAATGAACTGCGAAAGCAGTTCCGGGGGTTGGTGAGCACCAGCGAGCAGGGGGCGAAGCCTCCTAGTAAATATTATTAAACTGTCAAAAAATGACAATAACAACATTAGGTCTACATCACCACATTATTTTAAGTTCAAATAAAAAGTATTCAGTATAATTAACAAAGAAGTATTAAATATATTTCAGGACGGAATTGTAAAACACATGTTAATTACAATAAAGAATCAAGAATATTAGGGACAGTTGCCATTAGCTAATTTTTCCAATTTCCAGGAAATTTTTTCTAGTTTCTTGTTTCTCTGATTATTTTGAAACTTAAAATTTAACATTCAATAAAAGGAATAAATGCACTTGAAATTAGTAGGATAAAAAACATAAATAAAACATTATAAAATGTAATTTTTGATGTACTTGGTTAGTAACAAGTGCTATCTTAAAAGCAAGGGTAATAACTAATAATAAATCGTTTTGTCAAATATAAAATTTTAAGTTTATCTTCAACAAGTTTGTGAAAAAAAATCAAGCAGATAGGAACAGCTAATATGTGTGGATAAGAAAATCCACTACATCACAGAAGAAAATTTAAAAAAAAAAAAAAAAAAANAAAAAAAAAAAAAAAAAAAAAAAAAAAAAAACTATTTATAAAAATAAATAAAATTTCTAAATACTTACGACTTTTTAAGTTTCTCATTCTAAAATACCCCTTCATGTTTCCATAAGTGGTGTTGAAACTTGTACTACTAACCCAAGAGAAGGAAGCACCAGGATACATGACGGGATATTCTCCAACAACTCCAGGCCCATCTACTAACTCTTCGCTACCATTTTCATCAGTTATAGTCCAGTGTCTTGTTTCCAATTGACACTCATCTAATTCACATGCAGCTGACGACATGGACATTCTAAATAAAAAAAAACTGTTCTTTTTTATTCTTACTTTTTCCCCCAGCTCTCAGAACTACGTCTACCACTGACCATGAGGATTTCAATGTACATCCCTTATTAGCTAAATACAAAACAATAGTATACAACAAAAGGTTGGTATTCCTGGATTACATTAATTTATGTTAGTATCAAGTGCTTAACAGAATATACAGTTGTGATAAAGTAAGATGCAATATAGAAGATAACTCTCCGGTTATAATGCGTGCCAAATATTTAAACATATTAACCATTTAACGGTACTTAGCCATTTTGACCAAAAAAAAATTCAAGACCAATTATTGTTCAAAGAATAACATAAAGAGAATGTGATATCGCAATGTCCAAACCAATAATTAGACTACTACCAAAAGAACGTCTTTACACCACTTCGTGCGAACTCCTCTATCTTTATTTACAACATCTACCTTGATGACAGTGCCATCACAACATGGAGGCATGACAAACATCATAAAATGTAGTGTAAAACTTTCAAAAAATATACCATTAAGATACATAATATAAAATATTCAATACAAGCACCATAAAAGACCATAATATGAAAAAATTCCATATAAATACAGTAAAACAAAAATAAAACGTTTAATACAAACATAAAAAAAGTATAATATGGACATTCAATAAAAAAATGACGAACAACGATTTAATACTAACATAGAAAAACAATGCAATATTATACAAATGTATAGCAATAAATGTTCAATAAAAACTTGCATGGAGGCATGACAGAGAGATTTTTTTTTTTTTGCACTTATAACACATAAGTTTTAAAATAAATTGAAATGCATATTTCAACAACAAATTATATTTTAAATAATGTAACTTAAGACGACAGCGAATTGCTCAAAATATGTATTTTTATTCTTTCAGTTAATATTTTCTACTGCTTAAGAGTAGACTAACTTTCATGCTAAAAAATAAATCAAACCTGTGATATAATTATTCTGAGGAACATGAAAAATAACTTAGTTTCACAAAGCAAAAAAATGCATGATGTTTTTCCCCTGAATAAGATAGCAGACAGATCAAAACCTAATTATCACTATTCAGATTACAAACTAGTTCAATTTTGATTTAAAAAAATATATACACTAATAAAAAAAAACTCTGATAAAAAATATATTAACACGTATCTAACTATACTAAACATGGATATAACTATACACATAAGTAAAAATAATACTTACGTAATTCTGTAGGTGTGGTGAAATTTCGGTGGATTGATTTTACTGAGTTCAGGAAGGAAACAGGTAGCAACTGAAACTGTTATATAACCAGTGGTTTCAACTGCAGCTGAATCATGTAAAAAACTAGAAGGAAAAATTAAAATGAATAGAAGTATACTACAAACTATTGAAATTAAATTAAATATATTTCACTGAAATAAAATAACATTTCCAATAAATAAAAAGATGAATTTATGATCAATAAATACAGAGGGCTTGTCCCTCCTTTTTTTTATTTATCTTTTTCTTATTAAAAACTCTTATTTTCACTTTACTTCCATTTTAAATTATCATGACATTTTTTTTGACAAATTGCAAGCTAATAACCAAACTTATAAATTTTAAAAGTAACTGTTATTAGAAAAGGGCAATCTATACTACTAGACCAGATGTTCCCAAAAGGTGCTCAGCGAAGACTTGGGTTTTACGAGAGGCTCACAGGGGTTCCAAGGGTTAAAACTTGTTTTAGCTGATGCTATTTGAAACCTTTAATTATATCCAATTAATAATCCAATAGTTATTCAACATTTTAGTTATTATTATGAAATTATTAGTAGAATACCAGTAAGAAGAAACATGAGAAAATTGAAAAAATATTTTTTATTTTTAATTAATTTTAAATATTTCCAAAGAATTATTTTGCCTTAAGTCTTCAGCCAAATTATTTAAACATTATCGTGGAGTTGACTGAATGGGCTTGACCTTTGTTTGTGTTCGTTTTTGATAAAAAAAGCTTATAATGGATTGCTCCTGTATTTCAAAAGTATTAATTAAATATTACTTTTGATAATGCAAGTTGTGGAAGATTTGTCTTCCACGGTCTGTCATTATTCATATTATGCAAAATTTATCATTTTACTCGAAATGTCACTTGAATAACAATATTCTTTCTATTATACACCTTGAGGTCTGCAACAAAATAAAAAAAATTATTTTGTTTATGTTCCTGTTTTCATCATCTGCTTCAATCAGACAGCTTCCATTAATTTTTTTGATTTCTGCCATAATCAACAAATATCTATCAACTTCAATAAGTCAATCTACAACAACTTTCTTTACAATTTACCATTAAAGCAAAATTAGTCAAATTTATCAGTAATTTAAAAAAGCAGTGAAGTTCTTAATTTTTTGAGTTGCTTAATTGGGTTGGTAAAACAAGATGTTAAAAATGGAAGGGATGTAACGAATAATGATTTGGCAAAATAGACAAACACAGAATATTTGGCCAAAATAGTTGGCTAATGTCAAGATTTTGTTAAAGAAAAAATCATTAATAAATATTATCTTTAATTTAGAAATAAGTTTAGCCATTATTTAAAGATAATCAAAACTTAGCTATATTGTTGGTATCGAGTAAAGGGAAAAAAACTGTAATAGTTATCCATTAAGAAATATTTAAGATAAAAAAAACTGAATAACAACTATTAGAATAAACCAAAGTTGTAAAGTTGGAAAAAAAGAGAAATCGAAAAAAAATCCTCGTAATTCTCAAAACAAAACTTTAATGGTAAAAATAGTATTTCCCGGGAAATAAGTAATCATAAAGTGTTGAAAGAGTTAAAGTCTATGAAATTTGCTTTTAAAAATGCCGTGCTACCATAAAAAAAGATTATATATAGAAACAGAAAAAGATAAAAATCAACCTTTATTTCTGAAAGAAAATTTTAAAGCTGAAAACCTCAATTTTCTTATTATTGTATTACCAAGAAAAAGTGAAAAAAAAAAAAAGAAAAGCATAAAGTCTAATAAAAAACCCTTTGAATTGTCGTGTAATAATAAAAATGCTGATAAAAGAAGAGTTTTTGCAAAAAAGAAAAGCTAAATATAAACAAAAATGAAAAGTGTTCTTCATTTTTAAATATTATTTTTAATCTTCATTTTAAATCAAATTCAAAGCTAAAATTTTCAATTTCACTTTCTCACATTGCAGACTGATGATCAAAAAATAACATTCATAATAAATGATCATCAAAAAATTCTTTGTCATAATAAAAATACTGATATAAAGAAAAGTTAATTAAAAAGCAAAAGAGAAATGGGGAGAAATTTTTTTTTCTTAGACCTTAAAATATAACTTGAATGTTGAAAATAATGGTTTTCTATGTTACTGTTTATCTGTTGTACCATACAGGGAAAAAAAATATTAAAAGAATTAAGTTTTTTTTAACGCTCCTTTATAATGCTGAGTTACATTAAAGACAGAAAACAACAAAATGAAACATAAAAACAAACAAAAGAAAAAAAACATTCTCAATTCTTAAAACAAAAGTGTTGAAAAACGAAAAAATCGACTTGCCTGAATATAATTAAAAAGCAAATTAGTAGTACAAAACTCGTGGTTCAGTATAAAGTAATCCAGTTTCAATTCTTCAAATTTTGCTTCTCCATTTGTCTTTCAGAACATAAATTTGCAAGTTTTAGAACTTAAATATGTGTAAAAACTAGTCCTAACAATGGTGAGTAAAAAAATTACCCTTTATTCAATCTATTCGAATTTTAAAATTAAAAAAAACTTTGTTGAAAAATAATTTTCCAAAAAATACTTTGCCAAATATTAGGCCAAATATTCGGCCAATCGAGTATTTGGCCAAATTAATAATGGTCGAACATTCGTTACATCTCCAAAAAATAGAAAATTCCATCAACTGTAAGAAATTAATTATTCTTTTACTTATATCATTTGTTTAAATTCCTTTTTCTCATTTCATTATATAAAGGTCACATATAATAAATAGTTAAATTTGGCTTGCAATATTTTGTATATTCATTTTGTCCTTATAATTAGAATGAAGTTCATTTTTTTATTACTACTATAAAACAAAATACAAATTTTAACAAGTAATCTTTCCGTTTAAAAAATAAAACATTCAAAGTCATCACAAAAATTGATTTTTTGTAACTCATAAGAACGAAAACTTTCACAAGGTTGCCAATCTCCATAAAACATTTTTTGTTTAGAGAATTTAAAGATTAAAGGTAAGATAAGAGATTTTGAGATAAAAAGAAAAACTCAATTGAAGGACCAGTGATATTTTAGAGTTTCAAAAGTTTTATGACAAATACACACATTTTTCAAAGACAATTACAAAAGGCTTAAAACTATAAAACTAATTATGTTGGCCATAAAATTTAATTTCTCTTAAAAGATCATGTTGAAATAAAGGAAGGACTTTAGAAAATACAAATATATTGATAAATAAAATAAAATAAATAACAAAATTAAAATAATACGGAATGTCTGGATTTGCATAATTTCACATAAAAATAAGCTTTATTATTTTCAGAGATATTCTGCAGATAAATTAGGTATATTAAACTCTAAATTTGAGACATCAAAATAAAATGGTTTTCACACAATGGTTTTAATTTAACAGAGATAATAAACTAAACTGCCAATTTCTCAATTAGTACAAAAATATTTTTGTAACTCTGAGAAGTTTTCCTTCACAGACATCTAAAATATTACTACGACATCCACAGAAATTTTTGTAGAAATTGACAACCCTGATATGAATGGATGAAGTAAGTTTTAAAAATCATTACGTGAAGGGCTGGTTTTGAATTGAAACATAATCATTTTTTGTCAAATGATTTGCATGTGAGGTGACCCATTCTTGAAATGAAGTTCCTAGAAAATAAAATAGAAAATTACTTTAAAAGATAGAAAAATAAAGTGAATGACATATTTATATTATCTAATCAATAAAATAAAGATAGGTTAATCTTAACAAAGTCTGGTTACTGAGTTTTAATTTTAGATACATTTTTTGTTAGAAAGAGTAAATTTGATTTCTAAAGAAATCTAATATTTAATGCTTAGTATTTGTGAGGTGGAGCCACGATGGCTCAACGGTTAAGGCACAGGGCTGTCATTGCGAAGAGCTGGGGTTCAATTCCCAGTGGTGACTAAAAGCCCAACCAGCTTCAGATGGCTGAGTACCAGCTTGTCTGGGAAGTAAAGGGGGTCTGTGCGCAGTGCTCACCACATTGCAACAATCATGCTGTTGGTCACAAAACTGTGGAACTGTGGAGCCTTATCCTCCATGAACCCCCCTGGCGCACTACTGGCTGTTGCAGGAATGCTTTGCTTACATCTGCAAGGTGATGCAAATATTTTTAATACATTAATAGCAATGGTAGTTTTATGTTATTAAACTCAATTTTTGAGTGTCTCTTTTCCTTTAATTTTTAATTAATGTGCTTTAAAATTATACTCTTAATAAAGTTAAAAAAAACATCACAAAATGTTTCTTTTTTTGTACATAATATGTAGAGTGTAGACCAAAATAATTACCACTAGTTTATCCGATAGGCCGTTTTGTTTTGACAGTGAAATTGGAAAAATTTTAAAATTATTTTTATAGATGACCAACCAAGTGCAAATGATAAGAAACTAATAAAAAATGTAGTCAACTATGCTTTCAAAAGTGTATTTTAAATCTGATGAGGAAATATAAAATAAAATCGAAAATTTTTTACCACTTCAAATTGCCTTAGTAATGTTCTAAGGCAATTTGAAGTGGTAAAAAATTTTCGATTTTAGTCTCAGCAGAAAAATTTCTTAATTAGTTTTCTTTCTTATGAATTAAATGCGCTATTTATTGCAAAACCTTTCCATTTAGAATCTTAGTGCATTCCAGTTAGATTGGCAAAAGAAAAATCAACAATTTTGTTTTAAACCATTAATTTCACACACAAAATATATACATATGTGCATACAAAAATAACATTTTGTAACTATGCCTTTAATAGCAATAATATGCATTTAAATGAGCAGAGAATTAGATGAAATTTTGTTGGTATAATACCACTAACGTACTGACAGACAATTAAAAAAAGAGCATTAATATTTAAAAAGCAAAGCATTGATAAAAATCANGTTACATTGATCTGGAAGAGAAGAAATAAATATTTTATGTTTGTTTTAAAAAGATTAAGTCTGTGATTTATTTTAAAAGTAATTCTATCAATAAAAAATCAGCTTAAGTAATGAAAGATATTTTAAAAGATAGAAAATAAATATGTGTATGCCAATTGTGGCATCACAGCATTGGAAAAAATCAATGCATTTTTTAAACATTAGAAAAATTTCGTATTGTATTATCTCCCACCTGATATGAAAGCATCAACAGAAGATCTCTCTCTTCCTGATTCCATATCCATTGGATAAAATATAGTATTTGGTTCATAGCCATCTTCATCTGTGACAGCCAGATATTGGATTACACCAGAATGTAGACAAAGGGTAAGAGGGATACAACCTTTCAAACCGTCCCGTTCCTAAAAATGAAAATATTGAACTCCTTAAAATTTAAAAATAACATCAAGTATGTGATTCCAAAGACATCATTTATAAAATTTTATAGCACAAGGAATAAATAAAATGGAACACCTATAATTCTGTTCTTTCCCTCACCCCCCATAAAAATACAATCACATATGTGAAAGAACACAAAATTATTTTCAATTTAAATTATGCGGCCTAGCTACTGTATTGACTATGCACTCACATTTAATAATAACAGGATTAAATATATTTTTATCATACCCTAAATCCAACAACTGAAACAGTATTTAAGTCCAAAAGAGTTTCCGTTCTATACCAGCCTGGACTTGACATACTACCCATGATCCTAAAAAGAAAAGGATTTTACAAATGTGTGCAGTACTTTTTTTTTCAGTTTCAATAAAAAAATAAAAATAAAATTAGTACCCAGGTGAAGAGAATTCTTGACCACTGCATATGCGATATGAACAACGATAATCAAGAGGCAGCACAAAATGCAGACGCCTCTCTAATGCATTTAATTCTTCTTCAGAAGCTCCACCTAAAAAGTCGAAGTACCTAATGTTAAAAAGAATACTAAAAAATAAACTCTTTAACTCATTTGGAAACAATTTGATACATATTTATGTTGAATATCTTTTAAAAATTTGCTTTATTAAATAGAAAATTACATAATTTAAGTCTGTGAACATCTCTCAAATTATACAATTTATGCATGTAAAAAAATTTGTCTAGTATAAACAGAAATCCATTCTACAAATCTTAAGAAATAGTTAATCTAAAGGTCATCTACAAAATATCCAATAGTATTTCTCTACGGAAAAACAAATAAAGGGAAGAAAATATTCATCTTCATGATCTCTGGCTTGACAGCTCAGTATAGGCCAAAGCCTTCCTTATAAGATCTCTCTGATTATCCCTCCATTAAGCAATTGTCCTTCTATTTTTAATATGCAGAGTAAGAAAATAATTTTCAACATCCTTCAGTACATTGAAATCCAAATCTTACTCCATTTAGGGTCACAAATAGTTTATCCATAAATATCTGTTTAAAAGTGCAGTTATTTGAATGACAAGTGGAAAATATCAAATCGATTAATTATTTTGAGATAAAACATCCAATTAATACCTTTTCAGCAATATAAAAATTTGTGCATCATATTTCATTTTAGATACATATGAGCACAATTGTGTCTCAAGTGGCTCCATTTTATAAATTTTTCATATTAAATGGTAGCAAAAAAATTATAAATGGTAGTAAATATTCATAAATGGCAGCTAAAAAACCTCTAGCACAGCAACGGGTGCTACAGATTATTGCAGCATCTGCAGATTATTTTTATATCTAAAAAGTAAGTAAAAAAGGAGGAAACATTACTGAGACTTCTTTTTAAAACATTTCAAGACTTGCATCCAATAAAAATTTGAAATGATGAATCAAAAGTACATGTACACGAAAAAACAAAAGCTAAAGATTTCTGATACTTGATTATAGACTTCGTGGAGATTTATTTAATTTCTTTAGGATCATTATATAAAATTCAACTTAAACTTTCTTTTTCTTCTGTTTTACTCATTCATGTCTAACAGTCTTAAAAATAGGCATTAATTTTTAGCACTCAAGACATGTCAACATATAGATCTTTAACTTTATCTTCATAAATTTTTGAAGTTTCTAGGGATTAATTTAATAAATCACTATCTGATAGCTTTGAAGTCACAGACAAATTTTGATTTATGAAGATAGTATTATAGATTCATTCTATAAATTCTTTTACCAGGAATATATTTACAATGATTTACAAAAAATAGTATGCATATACAATAATTTTCGATGAGAATAGTATAAAGTCTAAAAATATTTAAAAAGTATCTGGCTGACAAAAGCATGAATAAAAGAAACAAGAAATATAACGAGCTAAGGATTTTCATAGGAAGTAGCAATAAGGATTATTGCTAAGGATTTTCATAGTGTTTTGATGCTACATTATCTGGAAATTTTGAATCCATTTCATTGTCCACAGGGTTTCCTTGATAGCAATTTCAACAATTTGGGATTTCTACATAGTTTTTAAAATTTTGATTTCATTTTTAATAAAATATTATTCCGATCCACAAATGCCGAATCGAGTTTTTGAATAATAATTTTATGACTCACTTCAGTCGTGACAAATTTATCTCAAAACCGGAATCGTCAAAATGTGACATTCTGCGCACTCTGAAATTTAGCGTGTGATTCTTGGTAGTATTAATTCTTTTATGACAGACAAAAGAGAGAGAAAAAAAATGGGGTTTTTTTGTGCTGTAGTGAAATGCCGGATTTTGTTTCCGTGATATCAATTTTTTCCCTTCATATTATAGCGGAAATCATATTAAAATGAAACAAAAATTGCAAATTGGCTAAAAATCATAAAGTGGAAATCAACGCAAAAGTGGAGGATTATCTTCACTGATTACTTTTTTTAACAAGTCGTAAATGTAAAAAAAAATTAGGGAAAAAGACGAGTTTTGTTTGTTTTGATTGTTAAAAAGTTTCTGGAAAAGAGACCCCTCCGGTAAACAGATGAAATTTAGTACTGCATATATATACACATACAATATATCCATACATATGAATAAATAAATGCAAAGGTTTTAACAACCATTTTTTCCTAACGAATTAAAACTTTTCTTCTTTTTGATACAATATTATAACTTTTTTCATATCTACAATGCTGACATTAAAAATAAAAATTGTCTTAACATTACACAATAAATAATTTGACTTTAAACAAAAAAAAAAATAAATAATAATAACTGAATTAGTGCTGGTTTTTACATTTTTTAGGAGAAAAAGAGGAAGGATTTAAATTATTTGTATGACAAAAAAGAAATAGATTTTAAAAAATGAAACTTGTGAAGCAAACGATGTCAGTGAAATATCAAATATAAAATTAATTCAAACAAGAATTACCCATAATAGTAGAATACATTTGAGGGTTGTTCAGTTGATAATAGTTTTTTATGTTATCCCAAGCAGTCTTCAAGATTTTATAATAATTTATATAAGCTCCCATATCTTTAAACCATTTTATAAAAGTGTCCTCCCAAGTTTGACCTTCAGGACATCTGAAAATAATTAAAACTATTTTAACACATTCTGAAAATTTATATTGAAATAAATACATCAAATAAAAAATTTAAAAAAAAGATGTCAAATAATACTAAATTGCATCATACAATGAATGTACTTTTATTAAAATAGCCTTATATCAGGTAAAGATTAAATTTAAAAATTTTAATTTCCCAGGATCCCCTTCAGACAGAAAAGGTATTCTAGTTCCTCTATGTTAACCAACAACTTATTATATACCCAGAATTTCCTTACATATAAAATAACTAATTAATATTTTTGAAAAGAGGAAGAGATTAAAGATTAAATTTAAAAATTTAAATTTCACAGGATCCCATTCAGACAGAAAAGGTATTCTAGTTCCTCTATGTTAACCAACAACTTATTATATACCCAGAATTTCCTTACATATAAAATAACTAATTAATATTTTTGAAAATTTCTTTGAATTTTTGAAAATCGAGAAAAAAAAAGAAAAAGAAATTGAATCAAGGAAGAACTTATTTTTCAAAATTATTTAGAGAATATAAATTAATTATTTAGAGAATATAAATTAATTATTTAGAGAATATAATAAGAACTTAGAGAATGTTAGAACTTAATTACTGTTGATGCTAATTTAAAAAATATTTTGAAATTTAAATTTTTTAGGATCCCATTCAGCCAGAAAAGTGAGTTTATTTCTTCCATGTTAACTTACAAAGAATTATCTACTCAGAATTTCTTTATTCATAAAATAACTAATTCAAGGTGTGTAGCCTAATTTTTCAACAAAAAATAAGCATCTTTTAAGCACTTTTTAAGCACTCAAAACATATATTTAATCACTTTAAAATATGTCAGAATTAGGATACGTGCACTAATAAAAAAATTTTCTTCATATTGTTGTAATTTCTTTATGTATATGTATAAACAAAATGCAAAATATTTTTCAAAGACTTTACGTGATTATAATAGAATAACTAGTTTCTGACAAAGAACTCTTTTCTTGATTATATTAGACACCATAAAAACAATTCATACGACAACATAACAATATAATTATTATTTTCACTATAATAATGTATAAAAACAAAATATCTCTAGCGATTAAATAAATTTGAAAATTACAAACAAATTAATGAAATGAGTTCATTATATGACTACAATTATTATATTTTGCATTCTAGCACAAAGCATTAAAACATTAGCGTGAATTTACATAGAAACGGAAATAATAAATTTTAAAAAATTTGTTGCTGTAATTTATATTTATTCAAAATTACAAATATTTATTAAGTTTTTTGTTATCCTAATTCATGGGAATATTTCTGTATCAGTACCTGTTTGTGTCAACTACCATCATCAAGACTCCTAATGTACTTTGTGGAAATGTAAAAAAAAATTATGTATTGGTTTGCATTAGGGTACCTACGAATTACTTTGAATTAGTCCCCTTCTGTGGTATTTTTTTTATTTTCTCTGATGTCACAACAGAGTTTTTGCCAAAATTTGGGGACTTTTCTGGAGCAGGTTTGTATACAAAAATTTCCCCGTATTTACAATTTTACTGACAATTTTTTCAGAGTATAAAAAATTATTTTTCACTTATAACTCTCTAAAGATTATAGCAAAAACAGACATAAGCCGAGTGCCGACTAAACATTAGTTGTTGGTATGTAATTTGCAAGATATGAACAGATAAAAAATTATATGATTAAATGGCAATGAACAATTTTTTTGAAAAATCATGAGCAAAAAAAAGTTTAAGTGACATCATAAATCTAAAAATAGTTGAGTTTCATCTTCCATACTTACTCTGTAAGCAACCAATACTTTACACAGTAATTTCTCCAAAACTTTTCTTGCTTGGTTAGTCCAGAAAGCTTTCTATTTACAAATTTCACACTAAACAAAAAGAAAATAGATCTTTAAAAAACGATAAATCTTAATTATTAATTAAATTTATGTTTTTCATTTATTATGTCACTGTATTATTATTATGTCACCAACTGAATTTAAGGAATGTCTTGTATTTAAATTTCTCCGAAAACAGTGACCTTGGCTCTAAAATGGGGACATTTCTATAGGTACTATCTATAACATTAAAATCTTTTTTAATTAAAAAGATAGAATCTCAGGTGTCCAATTTTTAAGAGTTAACTTTTAAGGGTGTGTTCAACTTATCTAAATTGATGATTATGCAATGTATTATTTTCATTTGTCTGATATAAAAAAGGGACTAAAAGAACTTTTATTGCAGCATATATCCCATGTCCTAAAAAAGGTACCTCTTAATAAAAAGTTTTTTAAAAAATTTAAAACTATACAAAGAACAAAAAATAATAAAAATGAATTTATTAATTTTAAGCTTTGGCCCAAGATTTTGTCAAACTTTAATCTTGTTCCTTCTAGAAACAAATAATTGGGTTTCCCCGTGTGATTCTAATGAATCCTCCAATGTTATTTTAACCCCAGGGTCAAAATGCTGGGAAAGCAAAAGAACTGCTTTCAAAACAAAACGGTATGAAACTTTTGATATATTCTACACATTAAAATTCGTTTAAAAAAACGATCCATTAAGATTGACCTTATTTGCTGGGAAAGCAAAAGAACTGCTTTAAAAAAATGGTATTAAACTTATGAATTATTCTACACATTAAAATTAATTTTTTAAAAAAACAACATTAAGATTCATTTTAAATTTTCAATCAAGATTTTCAAAATTAGGATTTCTTTTAGTAAAACTTTCGCAAGATTATGAAAACAAAGTGAAAGATTAAAGCTTGAATGAACTTAAAAGATGGAATCAAGATGACAAAATGTTTTTAAAAAAACATAGAGCGATTAAATAAAATTTCTATTCAAAGACTACAGCAAAACATGAGGAAAACCACAAAGATGTTTAATTTTTCCAACATTTTATTTGAATAATGTTATAATTTTCGACAATTAAAATTTCTTTCTGAAATTTTATTTGAATGTTACTTTAGTAACAGAAATTATTTTAAACTGGTAGTAAAAAATATGGAATAGAACAGGAGTGAAATAAATAAAGTCTGTTACAATCAAAGAATCCAGATAGTATTTATAAAGAATTTGTAAGTCCTACTGGCAGCATGATTACCCAAATATCTAATGGCGAATTAGATAGTACAGTAGGGAACCGATTATCCGGAACGATCGGGACCATCGCTATTCCGGATAACTGATTTTTCCGGTTTTCTGAATCGCTACAAAAAGCCGTTTTCTTATTGTTAAACCCAACTAAAAAATAAAATTTTTTGGGAATAATCTTAAAAAGAAGAAAAAACGATGAAGTAATACGCTAATGATTATTTCCAAAATGATGGTAAGGTGAACATCTTTCAAAAAAGAAAGAAAAATCCTGAAATCTTATGAGGAAAAAGAAAACTTTTTTTTTTAAATGGCGGGAAAATTTATCGAATTTCGTTCCGGTTTTTTGGTTTTCCGGTTTTCTGATTTCCGGATAACGGGTTCTGTACTGTATTTAGCAACAAATTGATTTTGCAAAATTAGCATAGATGAACTTATTCAGTTCGCAAGTCGGCAACAACTTTTCTCACTTAACATAGTAATTCTTTTTTCTTTTATTATTATTATTATCATAAAATAGGCATGGCAGGGCTACCTGGCTTTCAGAAAGCTAAAAGAAAAACTCTTAGAAAACTCTCAGAAAGCTAAAAAGGTAACTCTTTTATTATTCAAAGACATTTTTTCTTTAAATAATCAACTTCTTTAAGTTTTGAACAAGAGTGGAAATTGAATCTTATATTAAAATTTGTCTCCTAAAAGTAGTTAAGTAGCGACTGCATTTAAATAGTAATTTCATAAAAATAGTTGCAGTAAACTATGTTTACAATAAGGAAGTTGTAATTAACTTAAAAAAAATTAGCTTATCTGACTTCCGTTTAAACTCAAATTAAGATTCATGTTACTACAAAATTATATACACCTTTACTAATGATAGTTATACCCATCTGAACAAAATAATTAATAGTTTGATGTATACTGTATAGTGCCAGAAAAATTATTGAGTAGTAGGGTGACCTGAGGTAATTCACGAATTTATGTTTCTGGGGTAAATAATGATCACCTAAGTTTTATTTTTTTTTTAAATTTGAGACATGGACAAGAAAGTTTGTACACTTTACTAAATATAACTACATTTACTTAATAATAGTTTTTTATTTAATCTAATAAATAAGTATCTTTTAAAATGTTTTCTGCATTTTCCATTTCAAAGATGGGTTTCAAAATGTGTACATTTCTGCAAAGATCCCTCTCCTTCTCTTAATAATAAATATGTTGAGTTACTTTCTTTTTTTTTTTATATAAAAATGGTGTAAGCTTTTGTTTAATTGTTTCACATCTACTGTAAACATTATAATTGATAATAGGAAACTATATCAAATGTTGCCCCCTACAGATGGGGTAATTATTGATCACTGGGGTAATTCCTGATCATTTTCATTTCTTCTTATAGCATAAAAAATAGCTAATAAATAGTTAATTGTCTTTTCTTATGTAACAGTTCATATTTATTAAGTGGAACAACTATAAAATATATTTTAAGTATAATCACAAAATTTGTTTTTAACTGTATACAAGACAAATGTGTTCTGATATGCACCATTTCTAGCTTGTCTTACCTTTCTTCTATCTTAATTTTATGTGTGTATATTGTTAGAATAATTTTTAAGTTGATAAATTAACCTAATATAAATATGGTGAGAAATTATAAGCCTAAAAAGGATACTAATCTTCTAGAAAGCGAAAATAGCAAATTTCTATTAATGATTGAAAATGAAAATTTCAGTGTGAGAGCTGCTGCCAGAGCTGAAGTATTAATCTTTATTCCGGCTTTTAAATAAAACATTTTAATAGCTGCTTAAAAATATCTTTTTGGTTTATTTGTTTGATCTTAATGTCTTATTTGTTAATTACCATTGTATAATTATTTTTACAGCCCATTTACTATAAAAACTGGTGATCAGTAATTACCCCAGAAATGATCAAGAGAAGAGGTAATTCCTGATCACTAAAAATTTAAAATCTTTTAAATTCTAATTAGATTTTCAAACAAAAGAAGGTAGCATAGGACTCAACTCATATAGCCTCAAATTTCCAGTAAATATTAAAATTCTATCTTGAATAGTTTTCTCACAAAATAGATGTTTGCATTTTTTGATCAGGAATTACCCCAGGTCATCCTAAATGTTGAAATTCATTGAGTAAATTTAGAAGCCATCTCCATTGCTATCATTATTTTTATTGCTGAAATATGTACGTTATTTCAACCACAGAGGTTCTTAAAGCATTGTTTGTCAATTTTTCAAAAATTCTAACATTCTGCATGTCGAAATCAATGTTTTATAGAGTAGAAAATTAAAAAAGGCACATATGTTTCATTATCTTAGTTTACAAATGAACATAGTAGTTCTTGTATTAACTAATGAATATTTTCCCTCCTAATGCCAAGAATTGAATTTTTTTAAAAATTTCGTATATTATGACAAATAGTTGGAAGATGCAAAATATTGAGATTGTTTCTTCAAACATTGCGCACTTAAGCAGACAAAAATCCATGTAGATTTTGATAGAACTCATTTATCTTACTTTCGTAAGTCTTTATAGTCAAGGTATGATAAAATATTTGCTAAAATTTCATTAGGCAAGTCGCATAAACCACGTCTAATATTCATCGTGGATAATAAACTAGGTGCTTTTAAACTAAAAACTAGTATATTTACATCTCGAAACTATTTATTTTTCTTCTTCTAAAAATTAATATATTATATTATAGTTACAGTTAATGCAAAATGATTTATATGAAAAGAATCCTGAGAAATTACGTAACAAATACAAATTATTACGCAATTGGTATTATTGTTGATTGTATTATGCCATTTTTTTAATTCTACAAAACATTCTATTTAGAATTTATTTCAAATTTTTACAAAAACAGAAAAAAAATTGTCGCTTTTCTTGAGGAAGCATCAGAGAAAATTTAAAGGCTGTACGGAAAAGATGGCCAACAATTAACATTAATTATTTAAACTAAACTTAAAGAAAGATCAATATTGAATCAACAAGTTAATAAGAGTCAAATAAACCAAGTTAACTGCTGATTATAAGTATTTATGTCTGAAAAGCAACTGTTGCGCATTATTACTGTCCTTCCAAAGTGACATGTTTACATTTTTTATTTTTTTTATAATGTGGCATCGAAGAACCAAGTGTCGCCATTTTGTTTGCTGTTAGTCTTGTTTCTGTGAAGTGTAAATTGTATTTGTTTGTGTAATTTTCGTTGTGACGTAGGTAGGTGACAACATATAATAGTTTATTATCAACAGTATTAAGATCGTATAAAATTTACTATCACTGGTTACAAAACGAATGTCACCTTGTTGAACTATTTCGATTTAGCGCAACACGGAAATTTAATCTAAAAATTGCAACCATTCACTAAACAGATCTGTAACCCTTGACTTGAATCATATATGCGTATCTAAAATTAAACGAACGTTCGAATTAAGTTATTATTTTTACTTTCAACTTTTTTACACATTGAACTACGTGTTTGCAACAAGTTTAGATGGTTGCTAACATAGTTTCGGAATCGATATTGGATGACATATGGAAGATAACTGAGCCAGTCTACCTAAAAATACTATTCAAATATAATAAAATGCAATTTATTCCGAAGATTGTTTAGATATTTTTTTGATCATATATAAGTTCAGTGCAATTGTTATAACTGTTAAAACATCATTGATCCTATGAATAAGATTAAATAGTTTTGAAGGCCATTTAAACATCAAACGTATTTGTTTACTTTTTTGCTTCTGGCTCATATTTGAGCCGTTTGAAACAAGGAAAAATTACTCTTCGATAAAGTATCTCAAAGATATCATTGCTTTAAATGAATAAATTATTATTCAATTAAAAAAATTTTACATATTTTTAACTTTATTAAAAAAAGTTAATAAATGTTTAATTAATATTTTTTGTGCACTAATGAATGATTATATCATCTGGATACGTACTTTATTTTAACAATATGAACTTCCTAGTAAATAGATTAATTATATTTATTTATAATTAATATTCATCTTTATTCTTCTTAAGCGAATATTTTAAAATCTAAGTCAGTGCAAAAATTGATCATTATATAAGAATTATTTATAGATTTTCTATTTCAATATAGTTAAAAAGTGCATTTAAATAAAATTCATTGATTTTAAATGTATACATATATATATATGTATGTATAATTTTATTCCAAATATAGTGACAATCTAATGATCTTATAATGTATATTACTCATTAGATACTTATTGCGTGCACAATGTTTTATTATAATTATTTACTACTATTTACAATACAATGCCGTCATTAAAATAAATTATAAAAATTTTATTTTTTAGAAATAAGGTATTTAATTTTGTCTGATATTTGCTTCCATCTTGATATTGCCCTCAACTAAAGTGAAAATGTGTCTTTTAAAAATGAAATTATTTCTCTATTTAAGTTTCAATTATTTTGTGAAAATTAATGAATTTTCTTGGAAAAGATCTGGCGTTTTCCCAGTCTCTGGATTGTGACCCGATTTTAAGCTGAAGCTTTCAGAGGGAAGTTGGTAGGATGCTACAAGGCAAAAAAGATCCAGAAACTTATGGGTTAAATCTGATGCCCTCTTGATTTCATATTAGCATTCTGAATGTATGATCTATTTTAAAACATAGTTCTATGAAATATATAATTAAGGTTCAAATTATCTGTTTTTGACGAATTTAAAGCACAAAATTCTTTTTTTTATTTTAAGCTTCAAAAATGTGAATGATTTAAATGACTACCTATTATAAAACTAAAAGAGTCCTGGAGCATGAGGGAGCAAATATAGACTTCTGGGCAAACTTACTTCCCGGTTGTTTATTAGGAAAAACCAAATTTTACTGGATTTAAACAAAATCTAAAATTGAAGAAGTGAGAATATATAGCCAGTTGTTAAGAAATGCTTTAAATTGAGCATGTCTAAATTTCATTTATTTTATTTATTTATTTATTTATTTTTTGTGAAATTTCACTCTAACTATAGAATGCGTTTTCAAAAATTATAAAAATCAGTTCTACTTTACTAAGTTTTGAGTGGGCTTCTCTTTAATCTGGGTTATTTTAAACCTAATTTTTTTTTTTCATTTTATAATGCATGCGTTTTTAACCGGAAAAATAGATCTGAAAATGTATTGAAAAAAGTGTAGATCTTATGTCTTTATCCTATTATTCACAGATTCATTTTATTTAAAAAACAATGTTAACTTTTGAATATGTTACTTTAACTTAAAACCAAACCAGAAACTAGACATCAGTTTTCAGTCTCGTCTAAGAAATGGTAGAAAACCTTTCTAATAAAATGTTCACTGGAGTTATGAATTGATTGCATAAATCTTTAGTTGTATACTTATTAAAAATGCATATTGCCTGATCAAGGAGTTCCATGTGGAATGCTTTTAAAGATAATATTTTTTTGTGTGTATAATATGTTAAATTCTCTATTAATAATTCTATTTAAAAGATGTGAAATTCACGGATGACATGAAAATATATCATGGGCCATAAGTGTTCCTTAGAGTTCTGCTTGAAAGTCACTAAGGAATCGTTTCCACTTCCCTAATTTGGCGAAGTCAGTGAAACTGTGTTGCGAACAGACGCAGTAGCAATGGGACACAATGATCTGCCTAAGCATTTTTTTAAGGGCAACCTGCCGGGCTTATCCTTTGATCCGTTTTTTATTTATTTATTTTTTTTTTAAAGGCTCCATCTTTTCAAAACACTGTCTTTTTTTCATATTCAATTTTGAAGAAATTTATATGCTGTTTAACTAACTGCACGCTGGTAAAATTATCTGTGTTTATTGGTTCAGTTCTAATTACTATTATAAATATTTACTCTTTGTTAGGATTATCCTCAACTGGTTACATTTTTGTAAGTATCTTTTTTGGGGGGAGGGGGATTAATAAATTTTTCAAGTGATTTTAAAACAATTTTGTAAGAAAATTTTTTTTTTAAAAAATGCAACTTAAAATGTTTATTTTCTGGTAATTTTCAGTTCAAATTCAGGAAAAAAAAACTTTCAAGCTGTTCATCAATTAATCATTTTTGTTTCCTTTTTTTTTAAATATACCGATATTGCTTTTTAGCATTATTTTTGTAAACTACAAAATTTTCTCTTATTTCGATTATGAGAAAGAATTACTTTTTGAAATATACATATGAAATAGTATAAGAGGGTAATTTAAAATTTTTTGAGGATAAAATGCAGTTATTATGCAATATTACACATTTTGATAAACTTTTACGGTGTCAATTGAGTGCCCTTTCAAAACTCAAATTGACTTTTTAGAGAGGAAGAGCCTTGCCCTTTTTTATTCCTGGAGAGAACTCTGTAAAGAACACTTCAATAAAAATTCTCCAGATTTTTATAAATTTTAGAGAATTTGATAAATTTGAGTAGGTTTCCTAAAATTAATTGCTATTGAAATAGAATTTTTTCATAATTTATTGCTTGAATATAACTATCAATAATGAATTACTTGTCTATTACTATTCCAAATTATGAGTTAACATAATAAAAACTTTTCAAACTCATTTAATGTCCATCATAAATTAAAAATATTGCAGACCATTTTTAGTGAAATAATGTATTTTGATAATAAAAACCCCTGAAATTCCCTACATGTAAAATATTTAGTATATTATGCAACAGTTATCATAAAATTTATATTATTTTGTAAAATCTACTGAATTCTTTCCCATCCATGTTGGCAGCTATGAAGCTTTAAAGTTGACCCCCTGAGTTGAATTATACATTGGATGTACGGTAGTTCAAGTGTAAAATTGAACATTTACAGTTAGCAATGCAAGTCTCAATTAACCGGGCTGATTTGATTTTCACTGTATTTAAATCAGCAGAATAAAAATTTATTCCTGAGTTTAACTGAGAAGTCTTTGGAATACCTACAATTCAAGTTGATGTCTTAGTCACAGATTATATATACCATGTTTAAGTTTGTTTGGAATGAGAAAAAATTGCAATAAGAACTCGATTAACCGGATTGCAGAATAGCCGACAAGTTTTGTATAAGTCAAAATGCTGGATATTTGAGCACTGAAAATCTTGGTTTTCTGTATTACTTTAGTTTCCAAAAAAAAAAAAAGACTTAATTAAAATTTAAAAAAATTTAACCACATTATTGCATGTAAAAAAATATTTACAGGTGGGAAACTTTAGTAGTCTATCATGAACATTATTTAAGATAAGTAAAAAAAAAAAAGCAAACTGAAATTGTAAAGGAACAAACCAAATTAAGAAATCAGAAAAAAAGAAGTTTTTAATTCTTAACTTCTACATAATTACCATTTTGTTGATAAATATTTAATGCCAAAATTCTTGGTGTTTAATATTAAAGTAGCTACTGAAGGAATTGCCACTCCTTAACAATGACTTACAAAAATTCAGATTATACAGTAGGGAACCGATTATCCGGAATGATCGGGACCATCGCTATTCCGGATAACTGATTTTTCCGGTTTTCTGATTCGCTACAAAAAGCCGTTTTTTTTATTGTTAAACCCAACTAAAAAAAAATTTTTCTTGGAAATAATCTTAAGAAGAAGAAAAAACGATGGAGTAATTCACTAATGATTATTTCCAAAATGATGGTAAGGTAAACATCTTTCAAAAAAGAAAGAAAAATCCTAAAATCTTATGAGGAAAAAAATTTTTTTTTTTAAGCATGGAGGGAAAATTTATCGAATTTCATTCCGGTTTTTTGGTTTTCCGGTTTTCTGATTTCCGGATAACGGGTTCTGTACTGTACTAAAAAAGTCTTAGTCCTGTTTTTGTTTAAAATTTTAAAAAAAAAATCTGTTTTATTGATTAAAAGAAATTTTTTCCGAAGTATTTTGAACTTAAAATTCTGGATTGTTAAGCTTTTCCTGAATTTTCCTATTATATTTGTATGAAAAACCCTACATGTTTAAAGAAGTGTTTAAACTTAATTGTGTCTTTTCTTCAGATTATTAATTATTTAATTAATGTTAAATCTACAAGTATAAACTGTTTGTCATTCATATAATAATTATTATTTGATTTTTTTGCAGTGGTGATTGTCAACTTGTAGTGCTTTATTACCTTGGAACTGTCCATTTTCAAGTAATTTTAATTTCTTAGCTTTATAATTTATTTTTATTACTATATATATGATAATTTGTGCTTTTGCCATTACTATTCTTACTGATCAAAATTGATGCTTGGTTGAGTCGAATGGCATGTGACAACCCTTGTGACAGAATCACGGCGACTTTGTCGCAGAATGTTACAGAGTTCATGCAGAAAGATTTTTCTTTTAATGAAAAGTAGAAAAAAAATGAAATTTCTTTTTTTTTTCTACAGGAATTTATATTACTATGCATTTAGTTAATAACTTTTTGATGCCCTCAATTTACACTGATAGTATCGTAAATCGATGTAATGTTTGAATTGTATTTGCTGTAGGTAGTTATTGATATTGATTTTCACGTGGATTTTAAACATCCCGATATATTTCAAGCAATGTGGAAAATTCAAATTGTACATTTGCGTATTTACTTTTTAAGGCAATAATTCTATCGAATTTCTGGCAGTTATTGCTATTAATTTCGCCATAGTTTTAAATACGATATTATTTATTACAGCAACCTAATCTCGAAACGAACCGAGCATTTAAGAAGTTTGATTCGCATGATTTCGTCGGCGATCTTTTTTCCGGCAATTACTGCTACGAATTTCATGATTTTTAATTATTTTTTTAATGTGATGATAATTTGCGACGCGGAAGGAAATAAATTTTTCTAAAACAGAACTAAACGTACTGTTGCAGAATAAGCTTCATTTTTCTTTCTAAGTGATTTGTCATTTCAAATGAAACATATATTTGTGATATGCAATTATACATGAGTAATTTTTATATGCAATTATACAATGGTCAAATTTGATATTGATAGTTAACATTCTCAATTTTTTTAATTTTTTCATTTATGTTTCAATAATCTATGACGGATAAAAATAGACTTAGTAACTTATCATACTTAGTTCTAATTGTATGCAAGTGATGAGAATCTCGTGAATACTAATTGCTATGTTTGCTTATACGATACAATATTGGATTTTAAATATGCAGGAATATAAATTGTAATAATGGAATTTTCAATACCCTGAATACGAACTGCTATATATGATAATCTAAACATATGAATTGCGATATGTGATTGATTACCTTTGGGATTACGATGGTTTGATTTTTTAAATCGTGGTTAATCTTGCTAATTTTTGGAAAGTGACCAAAAAATGTAAGAATTTCAGCATTTGTATTTATATTATCTAACTCTAGATGGGACTTATTCGATTTTGATCGTTGGTCAGTATTCATTTGAAACTATTGGTGGTATGCTTGTTCTGTATTTTACAGTTCTAATCATAGTCTGAAATTAAAGTCTGTTAGATGGACTAAGCATAAGTCCCTTATTATTATTATTTTTTTAATTTTTAAGGAAATAAAAGTGATTTATTTTAATACTAGATTTATTTTTAAATTACCCAAAGATACTGTAAGAAATTCTATAGAGGGAATAAAATGTTCTTTAAAAAGAAAAATGTATATAAAAATTTTCCTCAGATTTTTTTTCTTTCTTTAAAACGTATTGTTTCACAATTAAGTTCTCTCGGTTTAGTTTTGCTGTTTTTTCCTTTATTGGAAATGGTTTGCTTTGATGGTGGAAAAGAAACAATTGAAAGTAAAGGGATTAAATTAAAAGAATATTTTTGTGAACCTGTGGCTGCTATCAGAATCAAATTTTGTGTGTGAATATTTTCAAAATCTAGGTGTATTGAAGAGAAAAAAAATGGTTTGCTCATTTGAAGAAGGTATGATTCAGGATAGACAAAAAGAAAAAAAAAATAGAAGTTCCTTTGAACTAATTTTGGGTGATTTTATTCATGTATTAAAATACAGTGTTGAGAATTCTATGGACATACTTTTGATTTGCTGATTGAATCTGATATTGAAAGTGCTTTCAATATAATAAATATCAGATGCAAAGGTAGATTTTGCATTTAATTTCATAACTTAAAGTTATCTGCACTACTTTATTTGTATGTTAGACTACCCAATCACCATAGAGATAACAATTTAGTAAGATAAATTCTGATCGTTAGTTAAAAATTATTCAATTCTTAATAGATTTTTCATGACTGAATTTTTTTTCTCTTATCTTGTACATAGAGTAAATAATTGAAAACTTGTTATAGATAATTATTCATATCAATCTTCATAAATATTTCTTTTGCTGTGTACCTCTTTATACACGTTGTGTAGTTGTTATCTTTTAAATTTATCTTTCTGTATTAAAGTTAATGATAATAATCTTGGCTTTAAAAAAAGTTATTTCTATGTGTCTACTGTTAACCTTTTTATCATGTAATCTTAAATTATTTTTTTAAAATAAAATAAGTGTTAGGGCTTTGCAAATTATGAGAGTTGAATATTTATTACTCTCTTATCATCTTTATTTTTAGTATGAATACGATACAAAAAGACCAACCTGATCCTGATGCCATAAAAATGTTTGTTGGACAGATTCCTCGTAACTGGGATGAAAATGATTTAAGAAAACTTTTTGATGAGTTTGGACCTGTCCATCAAATAAATGTATTAAGGGACAAATTGACTGGACAAAGCAGAGGTAGTTCACTCTAAATATGTACAAAATTTATTGGGAAAATACTTGTTTTGCTTCTGGGGTGTTTGTGTTCCAGGAAAACCCCGAAATTTCTGAAAATTTTGTTTGGGTTTCTCTGGTATTTTTGCCCTTTGATCTTTGGACAAGTTCTTACTAAAATTTCTCAGTTAAAATATGTCTCCATTGGAAAACAGAAATTACTTAGAAGGAAAAGCAACCTAAGTCTGTCTCATAAAGTTCAAACTATTAAGAAACCTAATTTTCTACACAGTTTGATTTTGAACTTATTTTTCTTTTTACAAATAAAAATATTTTCAGCACTTGATATGCATTTATTATTTTTTTTTATTATTTGATTCTTCATCATTTTAAGCATATTTTTCCATATGCTTCTTGCTGAAAATTAAAAATTGGAATAGAAAATAAAAAGTTAAACGGTTTCAGAATGACCGGTTCTCAGCCAAGATGGCCATGAAGTTTAAAGCTTCTTTATTTTGAGACCGAAAGTTTGATGGTGGCAATCGGATCAGGATTGTACACTGACCTCCTTTTTCAGACAAGCTGAAATTCACCTATCTGGAGATAAGTGTGGTCTTTAAAGCCACCACCGGGATTCGGGTCCTCAAAAATGACGATTCAGTGTGTGTCTTTATCATCTCGACCTTTTTTAATCATTTTAGTTAGAGAAAATAAATTGAGGTTGTATGAAAAATGAAATTGTTGAAGTGAATAATCTGAAATTTAGAATGAAGTAGCCAATGGCAAAGAGGAGTAAAACATAGAAGAAAGAATTGCTGAAGTACAAAACCCTTTTCTAAATCTGTATTATCATGAAGGAAGCATATATTGTAATTTATTAAAAAGAATTATGATGGCGTATCAACGGGCAAGTTTGTCAAGAAACACTCCAGGGGATTTCATCTGGTTCTACAAACACCCCTGCTTTCTTGCTCTCTGTGACTTTGCTTGAATAATGTTGCATACGTTTTGTTTCAAATAAACAAAAATATTTAGGCTTTGGCTGCATGAAAAAGTGTTAAAAGCTTAATACTTATTGTGTGTATGTAAAGAATTTGAAAGATAATAATTTTTTATTTTTACTTTGAAAGATTATTTTCTTTAGTTTTTTTTTTAATTTTATTTTCAGCATACTTATTCTGGGGATTGGTTTATATATAATTTATTGAAATTTTTTTATATGCATCTATTTTAATTGTAATGTTTAATTAATGCATCATGTATTTGTTACATTTTACATTGATGATTTTTATTTAGGTTGTTGCTTTGTTACTTTTTATTGCCGTAAATCTGCTGTGGAAGCGCAAAGTGCTTTACATAATATTAAAACTCTCCCTGGAGTAAGTTTGATACTATTCTTAGAAACAATTTAAATTGGTGTTATTGATATTGTCCTATTGTTTTCCTGTTATTTATGATGATTAAGTTTTACCTAATAAGTTTTTCCCTGGTTTAAAAATCCATTCTATAATAGTCCCATTTGTGCCAACATAATTTTTGAATTAATTTAGTAAAGTGCTAATCATTAATAATGCACTTGCTAGTCCTATGAAGATTGATAATTCATTTTATTTCATAGCCATTGTTAACTTTATAAAACTAGGACAAAAAAAGAAAAGTGCAATTGATTATCATAGATTTATTTTGAGTATTCTTGAAATTTCTCTCATCTTTTCTAATTAAAATATTAAAAATTAAATTGAAAAGTATGAGAATACTTATTAATTATAATTTTTTTTAGTTTGATTCTGATTGTTTAGAAATCTAATTATTATTCATCTTATTATCAAACTGTACTAAATTTAGAATGTGAGTCAAAATAAACTTAACATTACGTAGTATACTGAAATTATAACTGTGCTTTGAATTCCATTGTTGCTATTATATAATCTTTATGAACATTGTATTTCTGCCATATAAATTTACCTATAATTGTTTACGCAAATTGAGTCATTTTAGTCTTAAGTCATTAATTCTTAATAAAATATTCAAAAGAAAAAATTTTTATTGTAGAAAATGGAGATGAAGGTACTGATGTTTATCTTATTACTTTTCCAGCAGAAAGAACTCTAAATTATTATGATATTTTATAAATTATATGGTTTTTTCTGGTTATACCACATTATATATGTACTATAATACAGATCATTTCATGGCTAAGTTTTGTCTTACTTGTGTACTTTCTTTTGTGAATATATGAATGAAAAATTATTTTTAATTAATCCAATAGTTTTTTATAGTTAATTAAGTTTTGCAATATTTATCCTTTATAAATGCCTCCACAAATTTAAATTTTTAAAAAATATTCATGAATTCTGAGCATGAAAGTATGACTGTGTGAAAAGTTACTTATAAGAAAAGCATATTTAAGGATTTACGTATCTTTATACTGAAATACTATATATGAAACGAAAGCATATTCTGTGCTACACTTGGGTGTGAAACTTGCATTCGTGTCTTAGTCATAGTGTAGTTGACCAAGAGATGATAAAAAATATGGCATGTACCGACCTATCACTGAATTATATAGCCAGCAGTAATCATAGTTTTGATAGATTTTCTGAATGTATTTGAATTATAAAATACTACCAATAGTAAAAAAACTTCTTACTGGCTTTACTATTATTCATATTGCAATTGAAGCATTTTGCATTTTTTTTATATACCAAGATGGTGATGTCAAGAATGTATTTATTAAAATAAATTTTCAAAGTAACTTTTTTTTAAAGTTGAAATTATGAAAATGCGTTTTGAAGCAATAGAAGTTGGGGTGTTTTTACTGGACTGTCATATTTTTTCATTGCATATTCTTCCATTAAAAAAGTAAACAAATTTTAGAATATTTGAATAGAATTGCATGAGTTGCAAACTAAATTGTGGTTAAATATTCTTAAACAATTTGCCCTTTCACATTGTTTACCTTTAATTATAACATATTAGCTGAACAGGTAAACTGTAGTTACATGAAGATCAAGGGAAGAAAACGCCCCCCCCCCCCATGAAAGCTTTATTCGGAGAAAAGCGAATTTCAAGGTTAGAGACTTTTCAGGACTAAGCATTTAGTTGAAATTGTAAAAAATATAGACAACTGTCAAAAGGATTTATTTACATCCCCTCAATTTTTCAAAACAAAATTTGACAATTTTTGATGCTGAAAAAAAATAAATTAAGAATCAGGCTGAACAGGAACCTTTTTTTTTTTTTTCGCAAAATTCTTTCCCTATTTTTACTTCCTCTCCAATATTTCCATCTTCAGTATACTTATCTTAGTTTTTCTTGTCTAACATGTACAGGAACTGTTTTTTCCAGCACGGTTTATTGTCGCAATATAATTACTTTGGGGGAGAACTGATTTTCCAAGTTATTGATTTGTCAAAACTTAGTAATCCTCAAAATTGAACAGATGACTATCTAATCATCATTCATTTTTATGAAAAATAGATATGAACCTTTCTTCCACCTTGATCTTCAAATTTTTTTGTGATTTTTCTTTTATATTTTCTTTTCTAATGATTTTCTTATTTCAAAATAAATATCCTTTAAAAGTTATATTTAAAAAAGGGGGGAAAGGATTTAAGATAAAATTTTGTTAACTACGTTTTCTTTCTAATTTTTCAATTCCTACTATTAGTTCACACTCTCCCTATATATGTTTATATATCTTGTTCAAATTTTCAATCGTTAATTAAATACTTTTTATTCATCCACTCAGGTACAAATACATTTTTTTAATATTGTAGCGGATGATACTTGATGTTAATACAGTTTTTTCAATTAATTCATTAATTAAATTGAATTAATTAATTTTTTGAGCCATGTGAAATCATTAGATGGACTATTAATTGAAGAACTGGGCTGCTCGAAACTCACTGGAAATGTTCCTTGCAATAGTGAAGCATTACAAGAGATGGATAAAATGAGAAATTATAAACCACCATCAGCTTCATAAATTAGAAATGAAAAAAATAAAAAGCGAATAAATAATAACAAACAAAAATAATAGTGAACACCATATGTAGAAATGAAAGTGGAAAATTGCAAGGAAATTTGCTTTTTTTTATGCCACTTAATATTGTGATTCTGTCATATTTATATACATATTTATATTAATTGTAATTACTTAATAAAAAGTAACTAAAATAAAATTTTTGTTTGTAGTAGCAATTGACTTTAAAAGAAAAAAAAAATCTATTTTTTATATTAAGAGATATAATGTGTAAGGTCATCCTTTGATTAGTTCTTTCTTTGATTAATTTGTATATCAGAAAACAAATTACATTAGAAAGAAAAGGTTCTTTTAATGTATTATATTTAAATTTCTATAATTTCATCAAAGATAATTCATCAGATTCTTTTTACTGTGCAATCTACTTATATTTTCAAAAAGTTATTCTTCTATTTTTTGCCCTATTAATTATTTTTTTTTTTTTTTTTTTTAATTTTTTTTTTTTTTTTTT